CGATGGCGCCGCTTGCCCTGGGCATTGGCTTGTATCCCCCAGATCCCAGTCAACCGCCCGAGTCCCTCGTCGAGCTCAGGTAGATGACGTCCTCATCGAGAAGGGCAAGTTGCCGCACGATCATGTCTATGTGGGCCAGGGCCGTGGTTCACACCGTCTTGCCAAAACCAAGTGGGCCTCCCCAGTCATTCCTGGGCTGAACAGTCAGGCTAATGATTGGTTGTGGTACTATGTTGCCTACCTCTACGAGTCCGGGCTGGTGACCCAACTGCAAGAGCTGCAAGGCAAAGTGCTGGTCTGCGACTGTCCTTTCTGCGACCCTTGTGAGGCTGATGTGCTGGCAGGCCTTTGTTTCGAGGCGAGCCGTCCACAGGGCCGTCAGTCGATGCATCGCTTCAGTCGGGGGGGGACCCCTCCAGCTCGCCAAGTTCTCCTAGCGAGTATGGCTAGCACGGTCCAGGGTATCCCAACGAGTCCGACACGTTGGTGGAGCCAAGAGGCCCTCGTTCTCGCCTTTCGCAAATTATATCCAGCTCACTTCTTCATGAACTTCCAGTTCCCCATGGTTGAGGACATCATCAACGCTGCCCCGTTCAATGCTTTCCCGGTGTGGCTGCACAATAGGCACTACGAGACTGATGGCCCCCTGGGCCCGCACCTGGCTGATGCCAACGTTCGCCAGACCCTCCGAACTGCCGAGGGCCAGCAAGTGGGCGCATTGAATCAGCGAGCAGCCCTACCCCCCTTGCTGTCTTATGATCTCAGTCCTGATGAACACTTCGCCCAAGCGCTGGCACGGGGTCGCGACTTGCTACCTACCGAGCTACCAGCCGTGCTGGACCTGGACCTGGCTTTTGCAGCCGATTGCCACACTCAGTACCGAGGTCGTCTCCGAGACCTTCGCCGTGCAGCCGTGGGAGCACTTCGAGAACTTCATCGGCGTTGGTGTGCAGTAGGACGCCATCTACGGCAGTTTCAACCTGTCGCCTTGCAGGCGACCACAGCCACCCGTGACCTCGGCTTTGTCGCGCTGTTGATCTTGCTGACGTCATGGCCTGATGTTACATACCCTTTGGGCTCATCGAAGGCCTGCCGGCAGTCGGTTATGCACCCTGCTACGGCGTCTTTCCATCTCAGCCTGCCGAACGTATTACTCTTACAGAGGTCCTGGCCGGATGCGAAGCACACAACCATCAGATCTTGTCTACCCTCAAGCCGGGTAAAGATGACCTGTTCCTGTTGGAGCAGTCTACAAAGGACGCGGCACGAGGGTTCTGTACCCCTCCCCTGACGCTGGCACAGTTGCGTCAGCAGCTGCAGGGGCAGCCGTACCGCCTGATCCCACGCTGTGTGATCACACAGTCTTCAGGCAAGCAGCGGATCATTGACAACGCTGATGCAGGAGGACAAACCTTACGCTCGGCCGATGCCAACAAGTTGGTGCTTTGCTCACCACTACGACCGGCTCAGCACATTAGCCAAGTCCTGCGCCAGATGAGTCCCTCTGAGCGAGCCCAGGCAGCCGCCACCGATACCTGGGAGACAGGTGGAGAAGACTGGCCGGATGCCTATCGCCACAGCCCAATGGGAGCCAACGAAACGCGGGGATGCGTTGTGACGTTTTGGCATCATGAATGGGCTGCTCCGGCTTTTCAAGTCTACGCCGGTCTGCTATTTGGTCTTCCACTGGCCGTTACATCCTTCAATCGGTACAGCCGTCTTGTAGAGGCCCTGGGACGCCGCCTGTGCTATGTCCTGGTTTCGCTTTACTTCGATGATGCATCTATTCAGGACTGGTCTTCGAGCCGGGGTTCGGCTCAATGGGCATTTGGAGCCTTGAATCAGCTTCTGGGCACCCCTTTTGCAGCAGAGAAACGCCAGGCTATGCGCCCCAAGGGGTTGTTTCTAGGCCTTGACCATGACCTTTCGTCCGCACTATCTGGTGCCTTTGTCTCCTTTTGGGCGAGGGAACGCCTGGAAACCAAGTTGAAGGCCATTATCCATGAATGCCGTGCAACTCAAGCTCTCAAGCCCGGTGTTGCAGCTAAGCTGTACGGACTGGCTAACTTCTTCGAGCAGGGCGTCTACGGCAGGATAGGATGTGGAGGTCTCCATGCCATTAAGGAACGTCAGCTTGTCCGAGGTGATCAACTGACGCCAGCTATCGAACAATGCTTTCAAATTCTCGAAGCAGTGCTCTCTATCCATCCGGAGCGTGAACTTGATGTCTGGCCGAGACACCATGAGCGCTTTGTGGCAGCGTCTGACGCTGCATTGGAGACCCCCGGTGAAGGGACAGGTGGTTTTCTCCTCGTCTTCTTCCACGAGGACACCGAGAGCCGGCTTGGATTTGTTTCCTATCTCCCACCGTCCATCTACGTTCTTTGGACCCCAGGAGAGGCTAAGATCGCACAACTAGAACTTTTGCAGGTCCTCATGGCATTGACTACCACACCTGAGCGATTTCGCAATCGCCGCGGCACATGGTACATAGACAATACCGCTGCCTTGATGGCGCTCATCAAGGGAAGGTCAGACAGCCCTGACCTCGAGCACATGAGTCATATGATTCACATTCTATTGTTTTCACTTAGATGTTGGATTTACTTTGAGTGGATCCCCTCCAAATCCAATTGGAGTGACGCCATTTCCCGTGAGGGACATGCGGATCGTTGGCACCACGACCAGGGTTTCACTAGTCGGGAAGCCACATTTTTCGAACCACTCTGGTATTGTCACTCTGCGAGTCGGTCTCTTTCTTTGAAGTGCGTTGGGAGAAATGCATTGGGTAGATACATCGCTATGGATACGTCTGGGTGGACGAGTCTCCA